AATAGCAAACTAAAGAGTGCTACATAAAGAAATCAAATAAACAGACATATACAGTACATACATCTCTAAGGCCCCTTTTATATGTGATGGATTCCGTTCTGATCAGCATAGGATCAGCTCACAAATCCCCTGCAGATTGGAGCAGAGTGGGTGGGTGAGATATACACTTAGTTTAGGCAGAGCAGACACGAACAGACCCTGCTGTGCTCTATGGTAGCCTGGAGTAAACAGACTCCACTGTCCATTTACACCCGACTACCCTCGGATCCATTCCACCTGTTTTTTGGGGTTTTTTTTTGGCAGACTGGATTGGACCCAGAGGTTGGCGGTTGTAAGTGGACACAGGTCTGTTTATACCCTCCTGTCCATAGGAATTCATGGACCTTCCAATCAAGTCCGCCTAAAGAATTGGCAGGTGGACCTGATTGGATCACCTGTATGAAAGGGGCCTAAGCCATAAACTATCAACATTATGCCACAACAACAGGGGGCCTTAGCTTAAAGATAATAATGACTACAGCATTAACAATATATAGCTCAGCAGCTGATCAATTTAATTGAAAAACAGAAAAAAACATTTGACATTTAACAAAGGATTCCCAAAGCCCATTAGTTAGCTAAGGACAGAGCACAGCATATGAAACTTTTTAGGCCTGGTTCACACTATAGAAACACATTTTGACTCGTTTTTAATGTGTTGCTGTGCATTTTTGATGCTTTCCAGTTAATTTTTTTCCCTCTTTTTCTTAAATTTAAATAGGCACATGTACGTTCCAGTGCATTCTTGTGTTCTGGTGCGTTTTACTGCCTTCCAGTACAGTTCTGTGCAGGAAAAAATAAGCCTGTTCTATTTTTTTTCTGCATCCAGAATGCACTGGAGCTGCAAGCACTGATGTGAACTATGACATTGACAACCATATAACCTACTTTCTGTGCGTTTTTGATGCAGAAAAAAAAACTGAAACACATGTAGCATGAACTGGCCCTTAAGGCCAGTTTTTTTTATTGAAACTTCAGACTACGCCATCTGATATAGCACAAGTCACTGCTGTGATGAGTTCTGTAAAAAAAAAAAAAAAAAAAAAAAATCTTTCTACACAGCTGAGAGTGATACCTTTGCTAAATAAATAAATAAATCCACTATACATCCTATCAGGGAAGGCAATGACCCACATAGTTAGGTTATCATAAAGCACAACATACCTCATTTTAAATCATTGGCTGTAAGTAAAAGCTCTCATTTGCTTGTGCAAGCCTTGGCAGTGAAGGACAAGATGGGAAGAAACCAGACTGGTTTGGCCTTCATATTTGGTCATTATAGCATGGATTTACTATAGTAGTACCTCTAACTCTTCTATTTCTGTACTCTTTCTATCATATTACACATACTCTATATCCCCCCAAAACTGATTGTAGATCTGTCCATGGCATGCCTTCAATTTCATATGCCTCCTCTTAGTTTGTGCCCAGAAACCGGGAATGAGATGATGAGATAGTGCATGTTCATGTTCAAGGTTGGCAGTGACAAAGACATCTGTCTACAGAGAAGCCTGATGCCAAGAACAACCAAAAACAGAAAGTACTGCACAGGTTCTTAACAAGCCTCTACTCTCCATCTAGCCACCTTTTGACCTCTGCAGGGAGTATGAACATGCCTCTTCCATGTCTCCATTGATGTATTTGGATAGACAGCAGGGAAGAGTATTTTTAATGTCCACAAGAAAGTCGAAGGACATATCTAAATACCTGGAATAAAAAAAGTTCATGTTTTTAAAACCATCCAAGCACACACCCAACCAACATGTATTAAAAACACCCTCCAACTTATTTCATAAGAATAACAGAAATGTGCAAAGTCCAGTGACCTATAGCAAACAATCAGCATTCATTTTTTACTCTTGTGATTGTTCTAAGCCAGCTTATCCCAACCTTATAACCCCAATGGAGCCCTTTTAAAATAATTTTTAGGTCTCAAGGAGGCCCCTACTAGTATTAGCCCATCGGGGGTCATTGGGCAAATGCCTATTACACTGGTAGTGGTCAGTTGGAAGAATGCTCCCCTTAACGTGATGGTCAGAATGCCACCCTTGCCCCTTGCAGTCATGCTGGTGGCCCTGCCAAGTGGTCCTAGAGCTATGCAGGCACCATCAGATAAGAGGTTACACAGTACACAACTTCTAGCCATCTCAGGAGGAACCCTAGGGTTCCACAGTTTCCTGGTTGACAATGGCTGGACCTAAGTCCTGTGTCTTAACTTTCAATGGTGTTCTCTACAGTACAAGGTATATAACCAACTTCTTGCTGTGGTGTATTGCTGCATTATGCTGGCTGCCTCAAAGTGCCAATGACACAACATGTTATTCATTTGGTTTTTAAGTGTGTGAATAAAAACAAAGTTCCTGTTGCTAAGATTCAACCTTCTGATTCTCAAGTTGGTGCAGCAATAGGAGCTCTAGCATAGGAGTGTAGAGCTAACTTGCTGCTGTAACAAGTGTACACACACAGTGAAGGACGCAGTCCGCCATTTTGTTAAGAATCTCCATGTTGTCCCTCATTCTCCCCTTCCTCTCTGTTCAGCCACAGTGACATCTGGTTGTGGGTCACTGGCTGGCTAGAGCGGGCAGGGAGCCCAGAGCTATAAAACACCTCTCTGAGCCAGGGGCTTAGCTGTCCAAAGAACCTGTGCAATTTAACACCTCGGAAGAGATAAGGCAAGCTTTCCCAGGAGTTGAAAATTCAACTGTTAGGAATGGACTTGCCAGTAATGGTGGGACTCACCTGCCTTGTGGGCTGCAGTACCAGGGCAACATTGTGGCCAGCGGGTGCTCCCAGCAATCAGAGACTCAACCCTGCAGCCAGCCAAACACCTGAAACTGCTTATGCAGGTGTATTTAAGTGATGGCCAGACCTGCAGTCTTTGCCTTGGTGTGTGTTTTTTCCTGGGCCCTGTATCTTGTTCCATGCATTCCTGTTCCTGTCTTCTGTCTGATTCGTTGCTGACCCTGCCTGATCCGGACCTCTGCTGACTTCTCCTGTTTTATCCCTGGCTTGTGACCCGACCATTCTCTGCCTGACCCCCTGTACCTACCTGCCCGATTGTTATTGACCGGCCTGCCTGACGACGCTTGCATTGTATGTACTGTTATCTGTGGGTGGGTTTGGTTTGGTTCGTTTGCACTGTGTTATGTTTTAGTATTGCACTGCGTTTATGTTTGTATTGTTAGTCTTTAATAAATTATATTTGTGTATAACTTATCTGAAGCCTGCGTTTCCCTGCGTCAGTCACATACCTCTGGTCACACCCCGGAGCCCTGACATTACACCAAGGCAATCCTGACCAGAAGTGGCTGCACAGGGAAGCCATCTTGGCTTGTTGCTGGGAAGGATGGATCTGGATGAGGTTGTGTATTTATCTCTGCTAGTGTTTGATGACAGAGAATATGCTTATCAAACTCTGAAGGAGTATCCCAGGGGATGAACTGCTAGAATGTAAACGGATCGCTCATGTTCTAGTAGATCAGGGCACAGAATTCTCTGAGGTGCAGCCATTGATTCAGGTTTGTGCTGAGTTGGTTTCATCTGGTACCCCCGAATGCAGGGATGAATTTTTGCCGCCATTTTAGTGCCGACCAGGTAGAGTCCCTGGTATGGTTATTAGAGGATGATGTGGATTACTTTCTGGGAGCGTTATTCTGCATGTTTCACCACAGGTACTAAGAGATTGTATATAACGCAGTGCAGTCTTTGACCAGACAGGCTTTGTGTAAGCTGAGCTTTTGTTCAACCCATACTGCAGACATGGTCAGACTTGTTGCACCCAGCCTCAGTCAGCTTACAACATCATTCTCCGCTCAAGGCACTCTTCCTGCATCCCCGACAGCACCCCCAGTGACTGCCCAGTATACTCTAAACTACCACATACCAGTCCTCTGCTCCCACTCGCTGCACCTATCCTTTCTTTAACCGGTAAAGAAGTCCTCTGTAGCAACTGCTCCCTCCTCTGTTCCATCTTCCAGCTCTTCTCTGTCCTCAGCTGCTCCATTCGTTTGCAGACCTGTGATTACTTGCAGTGCCCCAGTAGTTAAAACCAGAAAAAAGCGGAAATTCTTTTCCAACCAGTACCATCCTGCCAGTATCCAAACCGGTGAGCCTGCACCGTCTGAGAACCTGCCTTCCGTGGTTCAGCCTGGTGCCAGCGGCACCGCACTTCAGCCTGATGTCTGTACCCAGCCTGATGAACTGATCCAGCCTGATGATCTATCACGCCTGATGACCCAGTGCCCGCTGTCGAGCCAGACGATCCGGTACCTGATGACCTGGTGCCCACTGTCATGCCTGGTGACCCGATGCCGCTGTCGTGCCAGACGATCCAATGCCTGATGACCCAGTGCCCGCGGTCATACCTGGTGACCCGATGCTCGCTGTCGAGCCAGACGATCCAATGCCTGATGACCCAGTGCCCGCTGTCATGCCTGGTTACCCGATGCCCGCTGTCGAGTCAGACGATCCAGCGCCAGATGACCGGTGCTCGCTGTCGATCCAGACGATCCGGTACCTGATGACCAGTGCCTGCTGTCATGCCTGGTGACCCGATGCCCGCTGTCGAGCCAGACGATCCAGCGCCAGATGGGACCCGGTGCCCGCTGTCGTGCCAATTGACTCAGAGTCCACTGTTGTGCCTGGTGACTCGGTGCCCACTGCCTTGCCAGATGACGCGGTGCCCGCTGTCGAGCCAAATGACCTGATGCTGGTGACCCGATGCCCGCTGTCGAGCCAGGACGATCCAATGTCTGACCCAGTGCCCGCGGTCATGCCTGGTGACTCGGAGCCCACTGTCATACCTGGTGACCCGATGCCCCCCGCTGTCGAGCCAGACAATCCAATGCTTGATGACCCAGTGCCCGCTGTCATGCCTGGTGACCCGATGCCCGCTGTCGAACCAGACGATCCAATGCCTGATCACCCAGTGCCCGCGTCATGCTGGTGGACCCCATGCCCGCTTCGAGCCAGACGATCCAGCGCCACATGACCCGGTGCCTCTGCTGTCGAGCCAGACGATCCGGTACCTGATGACCCGGTGCCCGCTGTCGTGCCAATTTACTCAGAGCCCCACTGTCGTGCCTGGTGACTCGGTGCCACTGCCTTGCCAGATGACGCGGTGCCCGCTGTCGAGCCAGACAATCCAATGCCTGTTGACCCAGTGCCCGAGCGGTCATGCCTGGTGATCCGATGCCCGCTGTCGAGCCAGACGATCCAGCGCCAGATGACCCGGTGCCTGCTGTCGAGCCAGACGATCCAGCGCCAGATGACCCGGTGCCTGCTGTCGAGTCAGACGATCCGGGTACCTGATGACCCGGTGCCCGCTGTCGTGCCAATTGACTCTGAGCCTACTGTCGTGCCTGGTGACTTGGTGCCACTGCCTTGCCAGATGATGCGGTGCCCGCTGTCGAGCCAAATGACCTGATGCCTGGTGACCGATGCCCGCTGTCCAGCCAGACGATCCAATGCCCTGACCCAGTGCTAGCGGGTCATGCCAGTTGACTCGGAGCACACTGTCGTGCCTGGTGACTCGGTACCTGTCGCTTTAGGACCGCCTGGGGGTCCGGCGCCCCCGCTCCGCCTGGGGGCCCAAGGACCTGTCACTCCGCCTGGGGGTCCGGCGCCCGCCAGCTCCGCCTGGGGGCCCGAGACCTGTCGCTCCGCCTGGGGGTCCGGCGCCCGCGCTCCGCCTGGGGGCCCGAGACCTGTCGCTCCGCCTGGGGGTCTGGCGCCTGCCGCTCCGCCTGGGGGCCCGAGACCTGTTCGCCCCGCCTGGGGGTCCGGCGCCCGCAGCTCAGCCTGGGGGCCCGATGCCCGTCGCCCCGCCTGGTGGCCCGGTGCCCGTCGCCCCGCCTGGTGGGCCCGGTGCCCGTCGCCCCGCCTGGTGGCCCGGTGCCCGTCGCCCCGCGTGGGGGCCGGTGCCTGTCACCCCGCCTGGGAGCCGGTGCATGTCGCCCCGCCTGGTGGCCTGATGCCTGTCGCCCCACCTGGTGGCCCAGTGCCTGTCGCCCCGCCTGGGGGCCGGTGCCTGTCGCCATGTGCCGCTGCCCGGAGTCCTGCCCGATGTGCGCTGCCCGGAGTCCTGCCCGATGTGCCGCTGCCCGGAGTCCTGCCCGATGTGCCGCTGCCCGATGTGTGCCGCTGCCCGGAGTCCTGCCGATGTGCCGCTGCCCGGAGTCCTGCCGATGTGCCGCTGCCCGATGTGCCGCTGCCCGGAGTCCTGCCCGATGTGCCGCTGTCCGGAGTCCTGCCCGATGTGCCGCTGTCCTGCCCGATGTGCCGCTGCCCAGAGTCCTGCTCGATGTGCCTCTGCCCGGTGTGCCGCTGCCCGGAGTCCTGCCCGGTGTGCCGCTGCCCGGAGTCCTAACCGGTGTGCCGCTGCCCGGAGTCCTGCCCGGTGTGCCAGTCTTTGATATCCCGCCAGTTACCAGACCCGGGCGGTGGAACATTTTGCCCAGCTAGGACTGTTTGGAGCGTCCTGAGGCCGCTCCTTGAGGGGGGGGGTACTGTTAGGAATGGACTTGCCAGTAATGGTGGGACTCACCTGCCTTGTGGGCTGCAGTACCAGGGCTGGCCAGCGGGTGCTCCCAGCAATCAGAGACTCAACCCTGCAGCCAGCCAAACACCTGAAACTGCTTATGCAGGTGTATTTAAGTGATGGCCAGACCTGCAGTCTTTGCCTTGGTGTGTGTTTTTTTCCTGGGCCCTGTATCTTGTTCCTGCATTCCTGTTCCTGTTCCTGTCTCTGTCTGATTCGTTGCTGACCCTGCCTGATCCGGACCTCTGCTGACTTCTCCTGTTTTATCCCTGGCTTGTGACCCCGACCATTCTCTGCCTGACCCCCTGTACCTACCTGCCCGATTGTTATTGACCCGGCCTGCCTGACGACGCTTGCATTGTATGTACTGTTATCTGTGGGTGGTTGGGTTTGGTTCGTTTGCACTGTATTATGTTTTAGTATTGCACTGCGTTTGTTTGTATTGTTAGTCTTTAATAAATTATATTGTTTTATAACTTATCTGAAGCCTGCGTTTCCCTGCGTCAGTCACATACCTCTGGTCACACCCCGGAGCCCTGACACCAACCTAATAAACCTAACTCAGCGTATGTGGCAGAATCAGATAACCTTTGTTAAATCCATTTTTCCCCTGTCTCATATCTTGGAATATGAGAGACCTACATAAAAACTGGACATATAATCAGATTGGCCATGAGAAGGCGAACAATTTGATGGATCACTCTCCTTGTCTCTAAGACATAGGAAAGCAGCAAAGTAGATCTCATGAACCGTTCAGTATAGAATTACATAATTCATATCTATTCAATCCTCAGACGTGTTTGTATAATAATCTACCCGCGGGTGGAATATCACTTGTGCAGATGGAAAGTTATGGGCCAAAATATGAGTTACAGGAGATTTTGGCTCTAGTTGAGGTATCCACCCCATACCTTCACGCCCTAAACGGGTATTGGTCCTTGACTTCAGAGGGCACCCCCTGCTGGGGACTACAAAATAGGCTGTCAGGCCTAAGAAAAAGTTGAAGACGTCTCCCATTTTAACATCAGTACCACCTGGGGAGACCTGTGTCCTTTCGCTCTGAAACTTGGATCTGCTAACCCAGGACTTTGGCAAGTACTTTAACCCTTTCACCTCTCTCTGATATCTCCTTGCTGTGCTGTTAGCCTCCGTATATATACACTGTATATATATATATATATATATATATCTTAGTTACATCTTTTTTTGTAAATAGTTTTTTGCACCCGTTTGACCTTTTTGTAAGAAATCTTTCCTTCTGGAAGGTCTGGGGTCTGACGCCACGATCGTGACAGCTCTTATAGTCAGCAACTATAATATTGCCTTTAAATAGATTCAGGCTTTCTTGCCTAACTTTGCGTGTGTCCCAGCATCTCCTGCTGCATTCATAAAATAAGAATTCTTTATTTAGAATGGGATATGCTATAATGACCAAATTTGTCTGCAGACCCAATAACTCGCAGAGATCTCGCTAATGAAAACCCCAAAAGTGTCAAGTGCCTATATGACGAGCCTGAAATGGAGAGTGGCCTCTAGCACTTTTTCTGTCCAAGCACCCTGGAAGTTGTGAGGGTCTACAGGGGTGATTGAAAGGCACAAGTGCTGGTGTCTGGCAGGAGTACAGCTGGTTGTACACTATGGATATGCCAAGTTCAGTTAAAGACGGGGTCCCAGTACTGGTCTACTAACAGCTGAGGAGCAGGAAGGCACAAAGTCCTAGGCAGGACCAGAGTCAGAGACAAGCAAAGGTCAGCAACAAGCAAGCAGCGAGGTATAACGTTGTTGAGCAAAAGCCTGGTCAGTAGTCTAGGCTGAGGTCAGTAGTGGAGATGGACAGCAAGTATAATTAGACAAGGGTAATTTAAAAGCAGGTCAGGTGGAAACCAGGTCAATAACAAGATCAGAATGAGGATCAGGAACACAAGAAAAAGGCTGAAGACCCTTCAGCAAGGAGTTTGTGCTGAGTTCAGGTTTCAATAGCCTACTTGGTGGCAGTGGACATGCATGTATATCTGCGCATGCTCATATGATGCACGTAAACTTCTATGCCTGCAAATATGTGCGAGCTTTTATTCAGTAAAAAAATGCTGTGCATAAAACATATATATTCACACAAAATACACTGAATGTGCACTTACATAATAAAAGTGACAGTGTTAGATAAACAATATAATCCACAGTGCTAGTGATCACTAATGTGTAGTATCAAACATCCAGAAAAGTTCCATATATACCACAATGGCTATATATAGACAATGATATTAACAATTATATCCACAGTGTATGTGTTCACTTGTGTATGACATAAAAAGTCCCATATATTCCACAATGACTTAATATGGACAAATATATTTGCACCGCTATATTCCTGTGCACAGTGCTCTTGTGACACCCCTTTTTGCTCCTCCACCTTCCAACACATTATGCGCTCACCTTAACGTTTGACCCCATAATGACAGGTCAAACTGTGCTTTTCCCTTTAGCCTGGGCAGGTTTATGAAGTCTAAAGTACAACTTCTTCCCACTCTTTGTCAACACCTTATATTGAATCCACTCCAATCTCCGTAGTCATGTAGAGCAAAAATGCTGAATATAGTGTAGTATGTCCAACCAAACACAGCCTTTATTTATTAAAATAAAATTTACTCACATTAAAATGTGTCCTCCTGGGACACCTCAGTGTAAAACTCACTGCTACAGTAATCTCCAGCATTTTGTCACTCGCAAAATGGCGGCACGCAGACTTCCAGTTTCCAGCTTGATGTCATTGGCCCATCCTATGTGTTACGTCACAACACGTGACTTCATCAGGATGCTTATGTGCTTTAGCCTGATAAGATGTTCCTGACAAACAGACTCTGGAGATATAGGAATCTCAGGCCTCCAACATTTTGCTAAAGACAAAAATATCAGTTTTGGGAGGCCTGACCCTTTAACTGTGAAAAAACTAATATTAGAATGCAGTTATGGCAGTTTATGCATAAATCCTTGTGTCGGTGCCATGCCACCATGAAGCCAATAACTGAGCCAGCTGCAAAGCACATAGTTCAACACTTTCTCACTGGCTTTCATATTGACCTTTCATCTTCAATAAATATTTTCTGAGTCACTGGCCAGAGACACGTGTAGCGCCACCCTTGTAGGGGCCGTTGTAGATTAAACAGGTTCTTTCCCAAGGCAGTGCAAAGCAGCGAGACACACAGCAACAGTCCATCCACACTGGATCTAGGGGATGTCTTATTTTGTAGATTTTTTACTAGTAGAACTTGGGATGGGATCTGGGGGTGATGCAAGATACTTCAGCTGAATATAAGACATATTTCTTTCTTACTAGTAGCAAAAGTATTTGCAAGTATAGACAATCAGTAGACTAGGACAGTCTATAGGTGTACATCTGGAGACCATGCAGTGATGTGAAGCAAAAGTGATAAGAAGCTGAAACAGTCCACATTTCACGGCTGGGGGCCATGAACAGCTTCAGAACAAGTAAAGAGGCTCTACTCACCGAATCCTAGAACGCACATAAAGGCAGCCTCACAAATCAGCCTCACCAAATCCTAGAATGCACATAAAGGCAGCCTCACCAAATCCTAGAATGCACATAAAGGCAGCCTCCAAATGCAGCCTCACCAAATCCTAGAATGCAAATAAAGGCAGCCTCCAACAAAGTAGTACAGTATCCAGCCCAGTAGTTCTCCTAAGGTGAGCTGCCCCTGGAGCACCCTCGGGCTCCACACTATTTAACAGGAACCCAACCACCATCTAGGCACACCTCTTGAGGGATTGGCGAGGCCCTATTAAAAATTCAGGCTGGGTATCTAAATTCCCTAAGCTTCAAAAGCTTCTTTTAGAGAGTGGGGAGCTGACAGCCTAACTAGACAAGCATTACACAAGCATGTAGCAAGTGAAGCAGGGATAAGGTCAGAACTTATGAATTA